TGCAGACTAAGGTAAAGCGAGTCAAGGGATTGGTACAGGAAGCTGGATAAGAGAGGAAAAGCAGACGTAGAGGGGTCATTGGTGAAGGGAAGGATGGCGTGGCCACTCTGTGTTCTATGTTTTAAGGACTCTTGCGAGCGGGGAGGGGGTGGGCCCAAGCGGATTACCAGGTGGCCCTACCCCAAGGGTCAGGGATTGGCTATTAGGTCAATTTTCAATCTATTGATTAACCTGAGAGGTGGTACCTGGGCAAGGGCGGGAAGTACGTGCGGAGGAACCCGCAGCTGCTGACTCATCTCCAGCCATGTGGAATCAATGTCCATTGTAGTCTGGCATCGGGTGAACTCACGGTTAATCCATTCAGGGTGGAGACCAGGTGTTAGGGCTAGCTAATGAGTTTCTGTGTTTGCTGAAGACTTTGTGTTTGTCCACACAAGCAGTTCTATTCTACTCAGGGTGTGAACCTCTCTGCTCAATAGGGGAGAAAAGTTAGAGAGAAGGGAACACTGCTCATGAATACTCCAAAGGGGGTCAGTTTTAAACCCACCCACCCCCACTTTTGATGCGTCGTTGTGCTTACAAGTTTAGTTTGCTTTGGTGATTGGTTTTAAACGGATTATCATGCATTACTGGCCTTCAATGTGCACTGCTTTTTTATTATTGCCTTTCGGGGGGGGGAGTTTCAAACCACAATCAATGCTCTAAGCTGTGGAGTCTTGTGAGCCAAAATTCTACCTTGTGAGCTACTGGCATTAAAGTTGTGAGCGAGCGATTGGGCTGCTGCATAAATCAGTTTGCTCTGGAGCCCTCCTTCCTGAGCTAAGGCAAAAATGTGTGAGCCGAAGGCTAAAAAACTGTGAGCTACCTCACGCTAACTCAGCTTAGAGGGAACACTGCCCACAATGGAATCCTGCTTTCTAAAAGCACCAGTCAACTTTAGATCTGAGAAGCAACGTTAAAAAAGACACAAAAAAACCGCAAGCTCATTGGACCAGCAAACAGTTTTCACAGATAGGTGTGCCAAGTTCTGGCTTGGAAAATTCCTAGATATTTGGAGGGGGCAGTGCCTAGAGAGGGTGGAGTTTGGGAAGGGGAGGGAGCTCAGCTAGGATGTAATGCCCTCGAATCAGCTCTCCAAAGTAGTCATTCAGGGCTCTTTTTGTAGCAGGAACTCATTTGCATATTAAGCGACACCCCCCCCTAATGTAGCCAATCCTCCAAGAGCTTACAGAGCTCTTCATACAGGGGCCTACTGTAAGCTCTTCGAGGATTGGCTACATTAGGGGGTGTGCTATATATGCAAGGTATTTCTTGCTACAAAAAGAGCCCTGAGTCATTTCCTCCAGGGAAACTGATCTCTGTAGTCTGGAGCAATGCTCCCTCTCTAAACTGTTGAGTCTTGTGAGCAAAAATTCTTCTTTGTGAGCAACCGGCATTAAAGTTGTGAGTGAGCGATTTGACTACTGCATAAATTTAGTTTGCTCTGGAGCCATCTTTCCTGAGCAGAGACAAAAATGTGTGAGCCGGAGGCTAAAAAACTGTGAGCTAGCTCACACTAACTCAGCTTAGAGGGAACACTGATTCTGGAGATCAGTCGCCGTTCCACCTGGGAGATGGTAACCCTATCCACAGACCAGAATAACCTATGAATATACAAAGATTGAGTCCAATTGGCACCTTTAAGACTGACAAAGTTTAATTCTGGGTATTAATTTGCATGCACACAAAATCTGATACCCAGAATTAAACTTTGTTGGTCTTAAAGGTGCCAAGTGGACTCGAATTTTGTTCTAGTGCTTCAGAGCAAAACGGCTACCCACCTTAATCTATGCACATACAGAACAGATGCACCAGGACCGATCCTGTGGACTTATCTTTTTTTTTATTTCGGTGAGAAGTAGAGAAACATTTTCCTGGACTTAGTTTTTCAGTTCTCAGCTTTCAACCTGATATTAAGCCACATGCCCGTCATACTGGAGATCTTGCCGGAGCAGAAACTTGTTTGCATCATCTACCGTTATCATCAAATGCCTTATCTCCAGTATTGCAAAGACAGAATAATTATTGTGCCCGGCAGTGAAGGAGGGTTCCTTTTAAAAGGGGGGACCGCCTTTCCCCGTATGTTCCCCCAAGAGCACTACGGTCTGGGGCCCGAAACTTATTGACTGTGCCGGGCCCCAAAGATGCTAAATTGGCCGTCACGAGGGCTAGGGCTTTTTCGGTGGCGGCCCCTACCTGGTGGAACGAGCTCCCGGAGGAGATCAGGGCCCTGCGGGATCTGGTACAGTTCCGCAGGGCCTGCAAGACGGAGCTCTTCCACCAGGCTTTCGATTAGGGGCCGCCGCCACCCCCCCTGCTATTACCATCATTGGGGGGGGAAGGGCCCTAGGATGGAATGAAGAAACACCGGAATTGACACCCAATATTAAGGACATGGAATGCCTACCAGGGTGTTGGAAGTGGATGCGGTTGACATCTCCCGAGGCTCCGGCGCTGAGATTGTTGAGCACTTTAATGTATTGTATTTATTGTTTTTAAACTGTATAACCTGTTTTAAATGTAATTTAAATTGATGTTTTACTATGGTAAGATCTTTTACTATGTAAACCGCCCTGAGCCCTACGGGGGAGGGCGGGATATAAATCTAATAAACGAAATGAAACGTAAATGAAAAGACAGCAACTGAAAATGAAATTCAGTGGAGTGGAAGTTGGATTTCCAGAACTTTACACTAATAGAATAAGTATTTGCAACTCCTCTGATCAAGGTGAAAATTAATTTCCCTCCTGGCCCCTTTCCCTTTTCTCATAATTTTGGTTTCCCTTCTTAATTTCCTTCAGTTCACTGCATTTCTTCAGCCCAACAGAGGATGCATAAAAAGGTGATAGTTTGAAAGTATTTTGCATGGAACTAAAAAACAAATTTTAAAAATGCAAGACATATTTTAAAAGAGCAGGAAATGGCACAAGGAAGGAAAAAGCTCAGGGCCGTAGCTAAAGCCCTCCTAGTGGGGAGGCCTTGGGGAAAGGGGGGGGCTGGAGTGTGTGTGGGCGCGCGCCACACACACATCACCGGGAGTGGCGTAATGCCCTCTCCCCCTTCTCTGGCCCTGAATGTCAGGGTCCCGGCTCCGGCCACAGCCCTTCCTGCCTTGGCGGCGGCCCGCCTGTCGCTTCCCACCCACCCCTGGTGGCAGGCCCGCCTCCCCGCCCGCCCAAAAGCGGGGGCTGACCGGCCGGAGGACGATGGAACTCTCTGCAGTCGCTGCAGCCCGAGAGGGGAGGAGAGGCAAGGCGACCCCGGCAGCAACAGGCAGTGCCTCCGCCACCCGC